CTTGGTTAAGTTTCTATTGTTGTGACAAAATACCATGACTGGAGTGGAGAAAAATATATAGCTCAATAAAAACAATAAAAAGAAAACATTAAAGAGCTTCTGTATTGGAAAAATACCATGATTGGCTTAAAAAGGAGTTTAATTGTGCATACAGTTTCAGAGCATTCGAGTCTATGATAGCACAGTGAAGGCATGGAGAAGCAGCTGAAGCTCACATATTGATCCACAATCAGGAAGCAGAGAACACACTAGGAATGGTGTGGGCTTTTCCACCCAAATGACACACAAGGACACACTGCCTCATCCTTCCCAAACAGTTCTACTAACTGGGGACCAAATATTCAAACACATGAGCCTATGGAAACATTCTCATTCAAACCACCACATTCCACTCCTGACCCCCATAGGCTCATGGCCATTTTATAATGTAAATCAGTCTCAATACCGTTTAAAGACACAAAGTTCAAAATCCCTCCTAAGACTCAAAGCATTCTCTTAACTGTAAACGCCTATTAAATCAAAATGCAAATTGCATACTTGCAACATACAATATCAAAGAATATACACTACCATTCCAAAAAAGGGGGAATTGGGGGATAGTGAGGAAATAGCTGGCCAAAGCAAGATCAAAACCTAACAGGGCAAATTCTAAATCCTGTTGCTCCATGTCTGATGTCACATGGCATAGGTGGCTCTACTTTTCCAACTTTGCTGGCTGCAACATGTTTCTCTTTCTTGGGCTGATTCTACTCCCTGTCTGTAACTCTCCTTGTCATCTGTCTCACAGCCCTGGAATCTCCAAGTTCTTAAGATTTCTAACTTCCAGGCTTCACCTTCACAGTTTCACTAAATGGCTTCTCAGGGCCCCATTGTAGGGACCCCACTGCCAAACACCTGACCTGCCTCAGCTGCTTTCCTTAACCACAGAAGATTCTACAACCTCTTCTTGCATGCATCCTTCATACTGTAAAGTCAGAACCACAAACCACATGGCAAATGCTGCCAAGTTTGGCTGCCTGGTTGGGGTAGATCTTGGCCCCATTATTGAATTATTTTTGTTTAACATTTGATTTGTTGTTGCTTTTTAAGAACAGAAATTCCACAGCCCTTTTCCTTTCACAGGGTGAAAGCTCAGCTGGATGGGGTCTTGTTCTGAGGTCACCACTCCCTTTATTCCATTTTGAATCAGGATTCTTCCTATCTATTTCAGCACAAGTCTTAGTTCCAATATTCAGTTTCCTCAAACTGTATATTTTGTGTTTCTTTTGGCCTCAATTGTTCTTTTTCACCATAGAACTCTTTGAGAGTGATTACTAATAACCATGCAACAGTGTCAATATTATGTTGTCTTGAGATCTCCTCTGCCAACAAATTAATCCAAAAATTTTCAAATGAGCCTAAGGCATATTTTTAGAATGAGGGCAAAAAGCAACCACATTCTTTGCCAAAATATCACAATAATAAATGGTCTCTAGTACAGTTTCTAATGCTGTTCCCCTCTGAGACCTCATAAACTGGGCCTCCATAATTTACATTGCTCTCAGCACTACTGCCTTCCAAGCTCCTGTTACGACAGCCCATTAAACCCCATTTCCTACATTCAACCACTTTCCTAGCCCAAAGTCCCAAAGTCTTCCACATACCCCCCTAAAACATCATGGTCAGGCCTGTCACAGCAATAACCCACTTCCTATTGCTGTGACAAAACACAATGACCAAGGCAACATATAAAAGAAAGAGTTTAATTGGGTTTGTGGTTCTAGAGGACTTGAGTCTTTGATGGCAGATTGAAGGTATGGTACATGTGGCTGGAGCAGCAACTGAGAGTTCGTATAACTGATCCACAAGCAGAGGGAAGAGGGTACGCTGGGCCCTTGATACCTCAAAGCCCACAACCCCAGTGGCATATCTCCTCTAACAAGGCATACTTCCTAATCCTTCCCAAACAATTCCAGCAGCTGGAGACCAAGCATTCAAATATATGATCCTATAGAGGCCATTCTCTTGAAGGAAAAAACTAACACAGGCTGAATCGATGTTTTATTTATTATATCATTGATTGGTTGGTTGGTTGTTGTTTTCAACAGACGTGCTTTGAAGCTCTGACTTGTCTGGAACTCATTATATAGACTGTGCTGACCATGAGCTATCAGCTATCGTCTCCTATCTCTGTCTCTCAAGTATTAATACAAATCTGAGTCACCATGCCTACCTGTGATTTAAATTTAACAAGAACACTTGGACCTGTACAATTGCAGGAGCCCACTAACTGGTTATGATGATTTAAATGAAAAATGTTCCCCATAGGCTCTCGTATTTGAATACTTGGTTCCTAATTGGTGTCACTGTTTGGGGAGGTTTTGGTGGTGTAGTATTGCTAAAGGAACTATGTTGTTAAAAGTGGGCATTGAGATTAAAAGCTTCATGCGGCTTCCAGTTCATTTTCTCTGCTTAATGTTTGCTGTTAAATATGAGAGCTCCCAACTCCCTGCTCCTATCATCATTCTTTACCACTATGATGAACTCTTACTCCTCTGGGACCGTAAGCCACAATGAACTCTTTTCTTCCACCAGTTGTTTTTGGTCACTGTGTTTTATAGTGACTTAGTCAGTGCTTTATTGCTGTGATGAGACACCAAGACTATGTCAGCTCTTATGAAAGAAAGCATTTAACTGTGACGTCCTTCCAGTGTCACAGGTTTACTCCGTCATCATCATGAAGGGAAGCATTGGTGGCACACAGACAGACAATGGTGCTAGAGAATTTTCTGGGAGTTCTGCATCCAGATCTAAAGGAAGCAGGAAGAGAGAGAGCCATTGGGCCTGTCCTGGACTTTTGAAACCTCAAAGTCCACTCCCAGGGACACACTTCTTCCAACAAGGTCATATTTAATCTTTCCCAAATGACTAAGCGTTCATATATATGGCTCTATGGGGTAATTCTTATTCAGACCACCACAGACAGCAATAGAAAAGTAACACATTAGCTTCAAGTATTATTTCTTCTAACTAACTCATTCATAGAACCTGATACAGAAGTTTTGCATGTGTCTCAATGTATTATTTTAGGGGCCAACAAGATGGCTCAGCAAGTTAAGATGCTCTCTTACAAGCTTGTTGGCCTGAATTTGATCCCTGGAATGTACATGGTATGAGAGAACCAACTCACACAAATTTCAAGAGCTGCAGCTTAATTCTGCTCTCTGGAATGGGGGTGGGGGAGTAAATTTCATGACTCACTTGTAATAGAATAGACCAGAATGGTTGCCCAGACTCTTTGGAATGGCCAAGGCCAAAGGGGAGGCATTGCCAAGGTGGTCTCCATACCAGTTTAGTGACCCTGATAGTGTAGGCACAAAGAGCACCCCAGCCCCAACCATTCCTAAAACACTTTTGGGGGATATTTTGCGGGGGATATTGAGACAGGGTTTCTTTTTGTAGCCTTGGCTGTCCTGGAACTCTGTAGACCAGGCTGTCCTTGGACTCACAGAGATCTGCCCACCCTGCCTCTCAAGTGCTGGGATTAAAGGTGTGTGCCACCGTGCCAGGCTCCTAAAACAAAGGCTCCCCTGATTGCTTTAGGAATATGAATCCTGGAGAGGCCACAGCAAATGAGCAGAGCCTGGAAGGACCTGACTCCCACACGCAACTCTAGAGATGGGAGTCTAAAGTCAGCGTGCACCCCTTCACAGGGACTAGGGGAGGACCCTTCCCAGCTCTCCTAGCAGCTCCCCGTGCCAAGGGATGGCTGTGGCCACATACCCTACCTCTGTGCTCTTCACCTTGCCTTTTCCTTCTGAGTCTCTGCTCTGCCTCTTACCAGGACCTCTTTCATTGGACTTGGGGCCACCCGGATGACCAGGATGATCTCATCTCTCCGTCTTTAATGGAGCCAACCTCCACAAGGATGTCTCTCGTGTGCGGCCACGGGCCCAGGAGTCAGGAGGTGCACACATTGTTCTGGGAGGCCTGCCTGTCCAGCAGCCCCAGTGAGCGGGCATCTCTTCATTGAAACCCTCAGCTGAGGGTCCCTGGGTCCCTCCCAGCCTGTTCCAGGAAAGGGGCTCCAAAGCAGAGCTTGCTTTTGCCCCCTTATGCTCTCCACTCTTCATTGTCAGAAGCATCTTTGCTGGGGGTCCCAGCCTTCCCCCTAAGCCTGGGACATAGGATAGTAGGATGAGGGACTTGCAGAGAACTTCTTGTCTTGGGCTTGGCCTGCTCAGTTTTAGAAGGGAAGATACAGCTCAGTTCCCACCAATCGGGGTTGGGAGGCATCAGTAGAACCAGCAATGTGGTTGAGTTTCCTTATTCTTTATCCTTTTTCTCTTTGTCATACTAACTTTTCTTGGAAGATCTCAAAACTGTTCAAAGAGAAGTGTCCAAGTCTAGCCCTTGGGTTTCCAAATTGGTTCCACTATGTAGATAGTGATCTGTGGGGAAATGGCACTCCTAATGGCCTACCCTGGGGGGTCTGGCTTGCTGACCACATAGAGTAACCCTAGAGAAAGTCCATGTGCTCAGTAGGGCACCTCCACTTTTTGTACTTCCTCTCTTCTCTCCATCTCTACCTAGCCACCTCCCAAATCCCCCTTAATGCCCTATACTCCCTTTCTGATCCTTGTCCTTCCTGCTCACAGGCATGATCTTTTATTAGGAGACCATGACCCGGCCACTTGATGCTAGGGAAATGGGTGGATGGGTGGGTGGGTGGGTGGATGGATGGATGGATGGATGGATGGATGGATGGAATGCTCAATAGTCTGATCCATAAGAGGTGCTTCACCAATGATATGGGTTTGACAGCGCTTCCCTTGTCTGCTTCAGGACTATGATATGGTGACCACTGCAACCTGTCTGCTTCAGAGTAACCCAGACGGAAAACGGAAGTGTCCCGGATGCGTGGGGAGTGAGACCAGATGCCTGAGTGGGCCGGGAGCCCGCCGAACCGCCCTCCTGCAGCGTCGCGCATGCTCTGTGCCCCCCCCCCTTTGCGCCCCGTTCCCACGCCGCCGCTGCGCCCGCCTCGGCCCTGACTGTTTGCTCATCCCGCTCCTCCGCAGCAGCGGCGAACCTGGCCAATGGACAGCCACACAGTACAAACCTCCTGAACGGAGGTGAGATGGACAACAGTTTGAGAGCTCTGAGCTTTTCAGGGGCGCCTCCCGGGAGAGTTTCTCGGAGGCAGCATCCTTAGCCTCGGTTCTGCCCAGAGTAGGGTTGCAGAGAGAAGACCAAACCTGCGTGGCGCGCAGGTAGGCAGGCAGGTTGGAGAAGAGAGACGCTGCGGGTCGCAGGCCCATCTCAGCAGCGGTGCGGAAGGGTGGGCACAGGTGACTGGAGGGTGGAAAGTGGAGCGGTGGCAGAGGTGTTTGAGGAAGCCCTGGACTGTGAGCCAACACTGGAAGGACTGGGCAGGGTGGCTAGGGAATGCCCCTTTCTAGCGCCTCGGAAAGAGAAGGTGGCCTGGCTGGGCTCTAGGGAACTGAAGCCATGTTTTTACGTTTCTCTCCTGATTTTCAGACGCTGATACGGGGTCTGGCACAGGAGCATTGCACCGCTGATCTACCCAGGTAATTTGGGTTTTGCACCCCTGGGTGTGGGAACTCCTCCGGGCAGGCTCAAATTGTGTGATCATGGCACTGTTAAACAGGGGTGCCTGGCCAACAGTCCGCAGGCACAATCCTGGGACAGGACATCAAAATCCTGAACTTGTGGCTTTCAGGAGTGGAGGGTTGTGTGTATTGACCAGTGCCCAGCGTGCTTCCCCCATTCAAGGGAAGAGCAATAAGCTTAACCAAGCCAATGCCTAGGAAGGTAAGATGCCTAGGAGCAGAGTGAGATGAAAAAGGGGGTGAGAGAGTGGGCAGAGCTGAACAGGGAACTGCAGTGCTAGTATGACTAGTTCTGTCTATCAAGGAGATGGCAAAAGTCTCTGTTCTAAGGTTGGAGTTCTAGTGACAGCACAGACCATGAATCATAAACGACTTCAAATGGTAGCTGCATAGGTTGAATGAAAGATAGTAGGAGCTGAAAAAGGCCCAGTTGCAAGCGTAGGTGCTATGACTAGAAAAGGTGATGAAATAATAAGCCACGTGCTTCTGTTTTGGAAGAATATTCTAGACAGAAGGAATAGCTGGTACGAAGGCCCTGAGGCAAGAGTGTTCTGACTCCTGAGAAGCCAGTTTGACTACAGCTGAGAGAGGAATTGGGAAGGGCCTTGTGAGTTTACTCTGAGTGACAGTTTTGGTAAGGCTGTGGGCAGAAAAGGCCAGGATCTGACCCACCTATTCAGAGGACCAGCCATGGTTGGCCCTCTGTCTAGGCCAGCCTTGGTTCCCTCCTTCTAGAACTAAGCCTGGGGCCTGTAGTCACAGGGGAGACCCCTGAGGGCTTTGGCAGAACAGGCTCCTCAGATGGCCCTCTGGCTCTTCTACCAGGTCGGGAGTGAGGGCAGGAACAACAGGTGGGGGAGAAGAGGTATTTGAGCTGCTAGACCCCAAGGAAAAGTTCCACCCTAAGTAACGTACATCTCCCTTCTTGTAGATGAAAAGGCCCAAATTCCCCTTGTGATGTAAATAAGGAGGATTCTGAATGTTTTTCTTGCTGTTTATTTGGTGGGGTTAAGGTTTCTTTGTCTGGGAAAAGTGCCCCACCTCGTGGTAGCCTGTAGGATGGCGCTCCGAGGCTCTGAGCGCCACAGATCTCACCCTCCTCCCCTCCTGCTCCTTGCAAGCAGAAGTGGGGGAAGCTGGTCTGTGAGCAAGACCCCTGGCAGAACCAAAGTCTAGGGGAAGGGGTTGTTCCGTTTACAGGCTGATCTGTTTCCTAGATGATCGCCCTCAGACCCCAGCTTACTGTGCCTCAGGCAGGCCCAACCTTATATGGGGACAAACCTGAGCTTCCAGGCTTAGAATCACCTTTCAGCTTGTCCTGTGTTCTGGAGGCCCACAAAAGTAGCCAATGGGAGGAAGATGTTCTCCAGTTCCACCAAGCTTCTTCCAGGCCTTACACACACACACACACACACACACACACACACACACACACACACACACGAGCATGCCATCCAAGAGACTGGAGTTACATAGTAGTTACCTGGGTTCCCCATGAGGTTTGTTGTGTCTTGGCAAGAGCTGAAATCATGCCTGACTTTCAGGGAGTAGATCTCAAGGACAGACAATGGTGTGTAGCCCCCTTGTGTGACTATCACTTCCAAGGGTCTATCCTTCCACAGGTAAAATCATGTCCATAGGCCTGACTCTAAGGACAACATAATAGAAGTGTACCACCTCAAATGTGGGGAGGGATGGGCTGAAGCAAGTGTACTTCTGACTTCTCTGAAATGGATAGTGTCAGCATGGTGCCATTATGGTGGGAAACAAACTTGCATTGTTTTTGTTTAGTGTGAGAGAGAATGCACTGTGGTGCACACAAGATCAGAGGACACTTTGGGGAAGTCGGTTTCATCTACAGATTTGCACCATCGTATATATGTTTTGTTTGGTTAAAATGTGAGTTCCAGAAATCAAATTCTAATTGTCAGGCCTATATGACTAGTGATTTTACCTGTGGAGCCATCTCCCTGGATCATGTTTGGGTTTTTTGTTTGTTTGTTCGGTCGATTGGTTTTGTTTTTTCTTGTTTGCTTGTTTTTGGTTTTTCGATACAGGGTTTCTCTGTGTAACCCTGGCTGTCCTAGAACTCTCTCTGTAGTCCAGGCTGACCTCGAACTCACAGATCTCCATGCTCCTGCCTCCCGAGTGCTCCACCACTGCCACAGATCATGTTGTTTCTTTAAAACTGTGTGTGTGTGTGTGTGTGTGTGTGTGTGTGTGTGTGTGTGTGTTTCAAGACAGGGTTTTTCTATAGCTTTGGAACTCACTTTATAGACCAGGCTGGCCTTGAACTCACAGAGATCCACCTACCTCTTCCTCTTGAGTGCTGGGATTAAAGGTGTGTGCCACCACCACCAGGCTTAAAACAGTAATTTTAACCTGAAACACTTGGGTCATCTCCTCCACACTCTTTTGGTGTTGTAGTGTATCAATAATAAAATGCAGATGTAACCTGTGGACATCCGAGCGATAAAAAGAACCCCTTTCCCTTCTTATTTGTGTATATGTTTTTGTGTGAGATTTTGGATGCATGTCTATGCAGGGAGGCCAGAAGTCTGTGTAGGGAGGTGTTATCTGGTTGTTCTCTTACCTCAGGTCCCCCTTCTTGGTAAGTAAGCACTTTATCAACTGAGTCATCTCCCCAGCCTCCTTTCCCTCCTTTTTTGATGAGGCAAAAGTCACTTACCATAAAAGACACCATTTGCAGGGCTGAAAAGATGACTTTATGGTTAAGAGCACTGGTTGCTCTTGCAGAGGGACCGGATTCAACGTCCAAAACTCACATGGCACCTCATAACCATCTGTAACTGCAATTTCAGGGGATCCATGCCCACTTCTGGTCTCTGTGAGCACCAATTATGCACTGATACACAAACATGCATGCAGGAAAACACCCATACACATAAAACAATAAAAATTTAAAAATTCAAACTTAAAGGCACTATTTTAAAGGAAGTTATCCAGTGGCATTCAGTGCATTCACTGTAGTGTTCAACCTGCATCTGGTTCGAGAGCATTTTCATTGCTCCATGAAGAAACCCCCAAATCCACTAAGTCATTCTTCATATCTGGGCTCCCAGGCCAGTTTTCTGGCTATGAATTTGCCTCTTTCAGACTCAGCATATTCTATAAAGATTTTGAGGGGGTTCACTACACAGTGACACAGTGACATTGTAGCACAATAAAGGCAGCAAGAATTCTCTTATTTGCACCCCTGAATGAGAGAAAACAGCCACTTAGGGTCACATGGAGGTACATTTAGGGACAGGGAAACTGTTAGGCTATCTTGTGCATAACAGGAATTGGGCCAGTTCCCTGTGGGACTGTAGGAGCCATCTAGTTTTCTGGGATCTAGTCCCTGATTAAGAACCTGATAAGAAAGCAGCGGGGGCGGGGTGAGTATTTAGTGGCTGTAAAGACTGAGACCTTATAGGATGTAGTAGGAATGGGGGCTTAGCAACTGCCTTTAAAAAACAAAGATGTTAGCTACAACTAAAAACTAGGTCAAGTCAGCTCTTGTGAAATGTCGTTACATCATATAAATGGAATCATAAAATATGTGGCTATTTGTGTCTGGATCTGACATTTTTAACTTTGCAAATAATCCCCAAGGTTCATCCATATTGTAGCTTACATCATAATTTCCTTCCTTTCTAAACACAAATAATGCTCCATTGTTTATATATATACCGCATTTTGTTTATCCATTTGTCTGCTAATGGACATGTGGAGTTTCTGCCCTTTGGCTAGTGTGACTGCTATGAATGTGGGTGTATAGGTTTTTAGTGTAGACACCTGTTTGAAATTATTTTCAGTATGCACTCAGGAGTGAAATTGCCTGACCATGTGGTAGCTGTGCTTAACTCATTGAGTAACCATTCAGATGGATTTGTTTTCCTTGTGTTGCGGAAGAATAGGCATTGAGTGTATGTATGTTTCCGTATGTAAGGACATACATAAATGGCAGCGCATGTGCACATGCACATATGTATGTATGAAGGCCAGAGGTAGACATTAAGTATCCTCCTCAACAATCCTCCACTTTATATATGGAGAGATAGTCTCACTTGAACCCAGGGCTGCTCAACTGAGCTAATTAGTGTTAACTAACCAGCTTGTTCCAAGGATCCCTGTCTCTGTTTCCTGTGTACTGAGATTACAGATGGGTCAACACACCCACCTGGCATTTGTAGAGGTGTTGAATAGCCAATCTCCATTCTTTTTTTTTTGTGGTTTTTAAAAATGTTTTTATTATTTTTTATATGAACAGTGTTTTGCCTGCACATATACCTGCAGGCCAGAAGAGGGCATCAGATTTCATTACAGATGGCTGTGAGCCACCATGTAGTTGCTGGGAATTGAACTCAGGACCTTTGGAAGAGCAGTCAGTGCTCCTAACCTCTGAGCCATCTCTCCAGTCCGCCAATCTCCATTCTTGACTGTATCCCTACTAAACAATCTCTCCAGCACAAATGGTGTGTGTGTGTGTGTGTGTGTGTGTGTGTGTGTGTGTGTGTGTGTG